ACAGAAAATGAGAACGATGAATGTGATGATGAGCATGTTGAACCTGCCACAGGCGCGAACCAAACCTTCCCCCCTCGAAGGAGCCCAGACCAAGTTATATGTGTTTTCTTTGCTTCGACTTGTAGAGCCACAAGAAAGGTTCAAAAAGAAAACAAAACTAGCCAAAAAATCAAGCACGGAAAATATTCAAATCTTCGTGAGTTTAGTATTTAGGTTCTTGATTTCTCACACGATGACTGTCTCCGATTAGGGATGAGATTTTTTTTGTCCCGGCAATGTTATGAGGTCAGGAGGCCACCTACGTTGGAAACTGTTTCCAGTTTGCTCTTTTCCCATCAGGTCTGCCAGCTGCAAAACTATTGGACATTATTTAGAGAAAATGTTAGACAATAAATTATACAAATGCCGGCGTGATGCTGACCACATCACCGCCCAAGTGCTGCTTGGTCTATAAAATACAAGGTCTAGCCTTATATGCCCAATACGCATGAAAGGCGTGGAAAAGGGTCCTTTGCTTTACTTACTTTACAAACGACCGAATGAATAAGCGAACTTTAACTTTCAAAAGGCTAAAAACTGGGCATTCCGGCTTAGTAGGATTCTGACCATCCGGCTTCAATTCTGTCATACATTATTTTAATCACTCAGCTAGTATAAGTAATAATAAAGATGGTTGACAACAGTTATATATTAAATACAAATGCTTGAAAGTGTTTGGATTATACATGATTTTCTAAACAAGATTAATAATTCTTTTTTTTTTTTTACTTTGCCAATATGTTAAACATAACAATTACGATGGTTTGGATATGTATGCATAATCGGACAGAGTCCACCACCGTGGCAATCATGGGAGGCTAAGAACCAAGCAACCTGACCTTCTTGTCGACCCAGGGTCTGCCGGGAAGACAACAGCCGACAGTCCCTGACTGACACAGGACTCGAATGGAGCTCAACCAGGATGAAAACGGCTGATAGAGAAGTCCGGCGATCTCTCTGGAAACCTCCACACCCCAGTGTAGAAGATAAGCGACTAAATAGGTAAGTTTGTTTAACATATTATTTTTAAAAGGCGTATATTCAAAACTGAGGTAATATTCAGAGAGATCCAAAAACATTTCACGCAAAACTCAGATTTGATTGCTCAGAGCACTAGCTATTAGTACATTTTTATACAGCTGTGAAACGTGGACCTTAACAACTGAACTTTAAAGAAAGATAGAAGCATTAGAAATGCGATGTTTCAAAAAAAAAAAAAATTCTTGGCCTATCATACAGAGACCACATTGCAAACGAAGACGTTCGCCATATAATTATACAACACATTGGCTACTATAAACCTCTCTTAACTATAGTGAAAAGGCGAAACATGCAATGGTATGGACGTGTAGTAAGATCCAAGGGCCTTTCAAAAACAATACTGCAGGGCTCAACAGATGGCAAAACGAAACGAGGACGATCTAGAGCAATGGTTCTCAACCTTCCTAATGCCACGACCCTTTAATACGGTTGCTCATGTTGTGGTGACTCCTAGTTATATAATTATTTTCGTTGCTACTTCCTAACTTCAGTTAATATGTGTTTTCCGATGGTTTTAGGCGACCTCTGTAAAAGGGTCGGTCGTTCGACCACCGAAGTGGTTGCTACCCATAAGTTAACAACCGCTGATCAAGAAAACCTGGAGAATGACAATAGAAATGGAAATTACGGAATGTAAACATACACGGTATACTATGAACATAAAATCAACAGACAGGAAGCAATGTAGATTGCTTGTGAATTTCATGTTTGTCAACACCGACATAAATAAGAGACAGACAGACAGACAGACAGACCGACCGACCGACCGACCGACCGACCGACCGACCGACCGACCGACCGACCGACCGACCGACCGACCGACCGACCGACCGACCGACCGACCGACCGACCGACCGACCGACCGACCGACCGACCGACCGACCGACCGACCGACCGACCGACCGACCGACCGACCGACCGACCGACCGACCGACCGACCGACCGACCGACCGACCGACCGACCGACCGACCGACCGACCGACCGACCGACCGACCGACCGACCGACCGACCGACCGACCGACCGACCGACCGACCGACCGACCGACCGACCGACCGACCGACCGACCGACCGACCGACCGACCGACCGACCGACCGACCGACCGACCGACCGACCCGACCGACCGACCGACCGACCGACCGACGACGACCGACCGACCGACCGACCGACCGACCGACCGACCGACCGACCGACCGACCGACCGACCGACCGACCGACCGACCGACCGACCGACCGACCGACCGACCGACCGACCGACCGACCGACCGACCGACCGACCGACCGACCGACCGACCGACCGACCGACCGACCGACCGACCGACCGACAGACAGACAGACAGACAACTCACATATCGCTCTGTAAAGTGTAGGTACTGGTGAAAAGTGACTCCACTGCCATCCATTTGATTGGAACTCTCGTCTGTGGAAAAATAGAAGTAACAATTTCATTGTGTAACTGCATTTTTGTCCCCTTCATAGCTTAAACAAAGTTATTCCCAATTCAATTCTCTACATAGGGATACTGCCGTATAAACAATGGGTCTGTAATTCGCCATGTGAGAAGCACTTGGGCTTTTACGGCCCAGGTTGGAGTGAGGATTGTGAAGCAAGATTCTGGTGCTGTTGCCTTCACCACAAGTAGTCTGCCTTTGGAGGTCATGCAAATCACCAAAGCAATAACGTTGCTGGAGACACAGATTTTTTTCCCCAGTGCATGCTTTATCAGTGACTCATTGAGTATGCTCAGGAAGACAAAGAAGGGCTGGCTCTGAAGACAGTGGTTGGAGACTCTACAGCGTTCGAGTTGGCACATATCAGTTTCATATTTGTGCCAGGGCATGCAGGTGTGCAAGGAAATGAGCAAGCTGATCGGCATGCTAGTAAAGCTACTGTGGAGGGCAGACGAGCAATGGACCTTGCTTATATTCTGAATGCTCTAAGAAAAGTAAGACGTATGCGAGAACCAAGTGATGATTGTGAATCTGTAACCATGACAAGACTGCAAGAATAAGATGTTAACAGGGGTGTGGCCAGACAAGAGTGCTATGCAGGAAGGCAAAAAAGGATAAGAAATCAACACAGAACTAGTTTCGTGAGCCGCTACACGCTGCGTGATTCACTAAGGAGGGGATCCGAGCACTTATGGACTGAATGGTTCGGTGTGCAATGAGGATAATATGTCGACTAACCATCTAATTATCCCCCATCCCCCATTCTTCAAGTCCTAATAAAAATAATTTTAAGTCATTAGAATCTATCATCATAAACCACTTCTGGTGTTAGTAGCCATAGGAAGAAATAATTTGCTATCATGTCCACACTGGCTGGCATTGATTGCTGTCATGACGGAGAGGCGGAAAGTGTCTGTAATGTTGTCGATCCATTTTTCGTGGCTGTCCTCTTGTCCTTGTAGCTGATCTTTTTAGATGCAGTGTTTGTGATGGTGACGTTACTGCATTTTAACGAGATGGTCAAACCACTTGATCTGCTGTTTTTCGATGACTCTAGTACAAGGTGTTATTCCCACATTCTGTCTGATAGCATCGTTATTCACTCGTTTAAGGTTAGACTATCAGCTTTTCCCATGCATCTTGTCTCGAAAGTGGTGATTTTGCGTATATGGGCTTTAGATAATGTCTCTGTCTGGCACTGATAGCTCAATGTTAGCATGAATAAGCTGTTTATATTTATATTCACTGAATTCTTGGACTACTTATAATCCGCGAGGCTTTGGCCATTGTGTCTGCCTACAGTCTACAGCCATCTGTTTAGCGTTCTGCCAACCATTTTCTATTCAGTTGTTTCTCCATGTCATGCTGTCAAATTGTCCCTGTCATGATGTCAAACTGTCTATGCCATGATGCCAGATTGCCCTCGTAATGATGCCAAATTGTCTAATTCATGATGTCAAATTATCCACGTCATGGTATCCATTTCGTATCCAAGTATCTGAATTTATGTATTGGGTCATCCATAACCGCTACCTTAGCCCGGTGTTGCGTGCAGTCCTGTTCGGGCAAGGATTTTTGCTTATCAAAGACCAAAAACATGTATATCTGCACAAGGCCTTATGTATATATATATATATATATATATATATATATATATATATATATATATATATATATGTGTGTGTGTGCCTATAATGCTAGAGTCGTTTTCGTGGCTTCCGGACACTAAGACTCGAAATGTACAATGGAAGAGACCGGGGTCAGGTAATATTGCTGAACACAGCAGCAGATGTACACGTATACCAGATATCTTTCATCCGACAAGCATCGTTATTTGTTATTTTATTGATTAATCCACGTCAGCCTGGAATATATGATATAACTATGGTGGTTAATAAGTGGGGTGTGATTATTATCATACTGTCTGAATAGTCATTACACATCGGTTTGTAAGGCTGATAACCTGTCTTACCTGTAATCTGCACAAAATTCAAACTTGGACTCGCCCAGAAATATATAGTCCCTTATATCTATATATATAGGCCTGTATTGGACAACATTATTATGTCTGCCTTTTCTGGTTACTTTAACTAAACTCCACTTTTAAATGTATATCTTTTGGGGATATATTTAGGGAGTTAATTGAGGTTTCTTGGAAACCGATTTACTCCTTGCCCCAGTATACAAGGAACTTCTTTTGTACCAACGCCTGAAATGTCTAACTGACGCCATTCTCCTTGCCAGCTTCTCAAGCCTCCAGATGTGTTAATCTGTGCCTGTATACTTTAAATTTTCAAGGCAATCTGGAAAGGTTTCAGTTTTTACATATGCTTGGGTAAGTTAATTATAGTTTACGAGTACCTAGAATGTTGTCTGTAAAGTAGTCACTGCTGTAGAGAAATCCATATCGGCTGTGTGATCTCACTTAGTTCTACCATTCTTGATCGCTAGAGTAGCGGATTCGAACGTAGATCTTCCACTGTACAGACTAAATAGCTTATGCCCTCAATAAACCACCCATACTGATAAACATTTAATGCCCTTACAATTGTGTACGTTTTAAACTACTTACAGAATCTGTACATACGAGATGGGGACAGAATTGGGTCAGGGCTGTGTTAATCAAAGTATGTGTGTGCTTGACCCAGATCAATGAGTGCTGGGGCGGTTGGGGAAAACTAGTGAATGCAGGTACTGACAGTAAATATTGGTGTTTGTGTGCAGAGTGAGGGGGATAGGGGGAGATGATATATGTGTTAGACCACTTTATCTATCTCCACTGCATATCTGACTTGCCTTCTCTTGCACTAAACAGACAGATAAATATAGGAGACTTATGTCTTTTGGTCTGGAGAGGCAATCTGAGGAATGAAACAGGAGAGCAGGGAGGAGTCAGCAGATGGGGGTTGAGGACTTATGCTTGCTCTGTCTTTCCTGTCAAGATGTTACCCTCTTGATGATGACTAATGTTGAGTTATTTTCTTGACAGGATGTATATTTTCTGAAGAGCTGGCAGAAGATTCACAGTCTCACCAACATCCACCAACAATCCAACCACCAGAACCAACTTGTTACCCACCAGCTAACACCTGTGAAGGTTCCTGACATCTCCAAAAATGGGGGAGATTGTGCCTCAAACAGCTACCAGTGCCAGAGTAATGTGGCTCTAAGACATTGTGTGTCCTTACTGGTGATATAGACATGCTAGATACCAGTACAGTTGCTGTACAGTGAAGTACTCTTGCTACTTGATCCAGTGGAGCAGAATTCCCAGAGTCAAAGACAGTCAAATCATCCGGAGCTGAGGGAGGCATCATAGACAGAGATAAGAGAAGATAAGTCTAATGCTTCGCATGATGTTGTGTTCCTCACAGCTTCCTGTGTCCAATGATGAGAATATGTCACCTCCAGGACCGGCTGTCTGCCTAGTTTCCTTAGGATCTAGACATTAGTGCTGAAATGATTTCACTGATAGCTGGAATTCACTTCAATTGTTTTTGTACAGATATTATACTAAATACATGCATTCATTTTCATGGCTGACTTAGGTTTCTCTATGTCACCTTCTTAAGTGTTTAGCAGTTGTATGTGTATGTATCTTCATTATATGTGTTAACATGGTTATGATAATGAACTATCATAACCTGGGGGCTTTCTTTAGTAAGTAGTGGGGGTGTCCAGCCAGCCAAGTGTGCCTAGAAATATATATATATATATATATTGACATATTTTGTAGTGCCAATACTTGAGTTGCCCTACTCCAGAGATAAGTTGATCGTATATTGGCCACGGGGAATCCCTTAGACCAATACGAGCCAAACGACTCAACAAAATTATCTCTGAGTGCTGCTGGTTCTGAAGGAGAAATCCTTACATTAGGCACGCGACAGGAGTGATATGTGACAGAACAACATATCCCCAAAAATCTGTGGTCTCGTCGTGGGATTGTTTTGTACACTGTTCAATCTTTAAATTTGCTGGTGATCTTGGCCAGGAGTTGTTCAGTGTTTGTTTTTTGTTAACACAGTTGTGACCATTCTGGGTCAGTTCTTAGAGTATACTCCTAGGAGTGATTTGTAATCATTGTGGTGTTTTGTGGTGTTCAAGTACATTGGGTTAGGTACATCCTTGGTTGGTGGTGATAATTTAATCTATTGTTGATTATATTTACATTGTTGGTGACAATATATTTTGTTGTGGACTGTTAGATTGACAAGACAGCATGTCGCAGTCAAAAATTTCCATACAGGAATTGAAGGACATGGCTGTCCAGATGGGATTGGAGGGTAAAGAAATGACCGAGTGGATTAAAACCACGGAACGTGAGATGAGGATGGAAGCCCGTGAGGCTGAGAGACTCAGAATTGAGGCAGAGAAGGAAAGCGAAAGACTCCGAATAGAATCTGAGAGGATTCGAGAAACTGAAAAACTCCGAATTGAGTCTGAGAGGGAGTCAGAAAGAATGAGATTGGAACAGGAGTCAGAAAGAATGAAGTTGGAACAGGAGGTGAGGTTAAGAGAATTGGAACTTCAGGCTCAGAGAGAGGGTAATAGACCCAGATCTCCAACACCTGATATTGATGGTGCATCAACGCACAGTAGCTCAGCTCAAGCGATGAACTTTCCTATGCCAGTCTTCGACCCGAAGGCTGAAAATATTGAACAGTACCTAGACCGATTTGGCAAATTGGCATCTTTGTACAACTTGGAAAGGAATATGTACACGCTGAAGTTGGCTCAAGGTTTGAGGGGTGAGGCATACGAGATTTATCAACGGATGCCCACCGGTACTGAGACTGATTATGATGCATTGTGTCAGGCTTTGCTGAAACGTTTCGAACTTAATGCTGCGACATACAGACAGAAGTTCAGAAATGAGAGAAAGATGACAGGGGAGAACTATCCTCAGTTCGCCAGTCGCCTTCAGGGATATTTGACAAGGTGGAGGGAAATGTCTGGATACTCCTCT